GACCAATCCATTGCGCTTTGCACAAACCACGAATCTATTCGAGCCTGTGTGAATGCGTTTACGGGACAAGCGACAAGCGGCGTGTTTCTTTTGACTCGTATTCCTTATCGACGATCAACAGAAAAGACGCGCCGCGCCAAGCTTCTCGCGCTATAAGTCTATTCACACGGCTCGCGGCGCGGCAAGTCCCGAGCCAGACTCGCCGAGTCACGTGTCGTTTATATGCACCTTTAGATAAGATTAAGATTATTTTTGTTTTAAATATATCTAGATATAAAAGATAAAATTACATGACGATTTATCTAGATAATTTTGGATAATATTTTTTTAAGATAGCTTATATAGACACAGTTATAAAAAATGTAAATTCATAAATAGGATATAAAAATATATTCATACTTTATTCTTTAATTTTTTAATTTTTTAAAAATATGTATAAATAATACATATTTTTATTATCTATATTAATATAAGAGTGCTGCAAATTTTATCTAATTGATCATCTATAAAATTTTATTAGATAACAAACACTGATTGTAGGATCCGCAACCACCAGAACCATGGTCCAGCGACAGAGACGCTTCGTCTAACGGAAACGTCTGTCTTCAGATGGTAACGAACATTGTCATAGGCGAAGAAGACTGTCTCTATTTGAACGTGTATACCAACGATGTAATATCTCCAAAGAAAAGTGCTGTGATGGATGGATACATGGTGGAGGCTTTTTTGTGGGAGACGGTACCTCGTTGTATACGGTCCCGATTATATCATGCGGAAGGATGTGGTACTCGTCACCCTGAATTACAGATTAGGGTTCTAGGTACATTATTAATTAGCTCAAAATCATTTTATGTTACTTGCGTTCAATGTTCTACCTTTTTTTTAAGTAAACACTACACACGCATTCTACTTTCTACGCTCCAAATAATTTACGTGTATATATGATTCTTTTAAATTATTAAATTCAAAACAATAATCAATTATCATAACTTTTTTATAAATTTTAACGTTTCATAACTTTTTTTATAAATATGTTTTCATTAACAATTGTCAAATTATAAGTAATTAAAAAACTCGTGAAATCAATTTATTTAATCGTAATTTTTATATATTTATATAAGTTATATAAATAAATTAGGAATTTTAAATAATCGGCCAAAACTAGCAGAAATTAAAATTTATTAAGTTTCGCGACGTTCGAACATGTGGATGTGGTACTTTTCAAATGATAAACGTTTAAAACATTGCAACCACATGGTCAAAACGTCGTGAAACCTAATTAATTTAATTTTGTGCTAGTTTGGTCGGCTATTTAATATTCCTTTTTTACTGACTAGCAAATACGAATATTTAAGACTTGATAGTAAACTTTACTGAACGTATTAACGACATGTTTCTCTCATTCTCTCTTTAGGTTTTCTCAATTTTTATAAGGAAATGGCGACAGGAAATCAGGGTTAAAAGATGTAGTTATGGCGTTAAGATGGGTTAAAAGAAATATATTGCAATTCGGTGGAGATCCCGATAACGTCACAATTTTTGGTCAAAATGCGGGTGGAGTGATGGTTCATTATCTAACTATTTCACCGTTAGCTAAAGGTACGAATCAACAGGACATAATATATATACATATATTAAGAATATTAGAAACACATTTTACACAAAAAAAAATTTAAAACATTTTATAGATTTGCTGTAGCAAAAAAAATTTTAATAAGATTTTTTTTTCATTCTAACTTAAATTTCGATTGCAAACTATATAATATCGACGTTTTAAAACATCGTAGAAAATTACTTAGAAGATACCTGATAACATCTTTCAGTAAAAAAATATCGATTCTAAATTGAGAATTGAAAATTAAAACCACGCTGATTAATTTTATGTGTCAATATCGAGTCAAAGAGGAAAAATGTAAAAAATCTCATGATAAAGTCGTATTAAACTTCAAGTGACAATTATATTATGTGCGAATGTGTGCTTAACAGGTTTATTTCATAAAGCAATATGTCAAAGTGGTGTCATGACAGTTCCTTGGGCTTTCACTGAACAAGACGATGCTATCAATAACGGTCTGATGTTAGCCCAGAAGCTTGGTAATGCGACTTTTGATCCGGAAGACGCTTGAAATTTCTGAAAGACATAGACGGAAGAAATTGATAGCAGCGGAGGTCTTTTGACGCTCTATTACGATTATTGCAATAATAATGTTCGATGAATTACTATAAACTATTTTTTTATATTAAGAATATTATGTTCTTGCAGATTGGCTTAGATATTTTGCTTGCATTTACGCCGACCGTGGATTCCAAGTCATCGAATCCTTTTTACCAGAAAATCCATTGCAATTATTACGTAATGGAATTGAAATACCAATTATGTTCGGATATAATAGCCAGGAAGGCAATTGTTTCATAAATGCCACTTTGTCGGCCGTAAGTATATATATTTGCTTTTGCTTTTCATTATTACACATTATTAATTATTAGCTATATCATGAATCACTATTTTATGTAGAATTTTCATAGAAAAACGATCTGCAATATTTGAAAATGTTTTGATGAACATAGAATGTTATAATAAATTTAATCAATATTAATAATTAATAGCAGGTATCTTGTATTGCCAGTGATGAATAAAATAAAATAACTGTGAGACGACCAACTGCTTAAATTGATTCTTATTATTAGTTTGATGTCATTACAAGAAAAGACAACGTTCGACCTTAAGTTTAGGTCCTTATCAAGTCTAAAATTAAAAATTAAAAAATACAATAATGTACATACAAGAATTTCGATTTTTAAGAAAGCAAAAAGTAAACCAGATTGTAATAACAATTAGAACGTACCTTACAAAATCTTTAGTACAATATATAATTAAGTAGTTTTTCACTTTACAATTTCAATATAAATACTGTGTTCAAGTAAAACGTTCAGTATGAATGATAAAAGCGAACCTTCTTGTATGTACATTTATTGTTTTTTTAATTTTAATTTTAGACTTGATAGGACCTAAACCTGAAGTCGAAACGTTGTCGTTTCTTGTATATGACATCAAACTAATAATAAGAATCAGTTTAAGCCAGTTGGGTCGTCTCACAGTTATTTTAACAATATTAATAAGTTTCAGGATTTCATCAATATATAACTTTTAAATGTACAAAAAGATTATTAATTATTTATTAATAAAACCGTTTTGTTTCTACGTAATAGAGCTACATATATATTTATATTACCTAAATAAAAAATCATTATAGAAATTAAAAATTAAAATTAAAATTAAAATAAATAGAATCAAATAAAATTAAATTAAAATCGTTATAAAAATTGTTTCAGTGGTTAACAACGAGACTTTAAAGGAAATTGATTATGATTTTCAAGAAAGCCATATATCCTAGAGTTTTGCGTCAATTACCACAACTTGGGATCACGGTACCAGAATTACGATCATTGTATTTTGGTAATAAACAGGGTTTCGGAGGAAACTAAAATTATCTTTCTGATTTTATCGGCGATCAGCATATCTATAGAGGCATTATACAAGCAATTGATACTCAAATGAATTCTAATGTTAACGAGTCGACTTACTTGTACAAATTTTCGTACAAAAAGTGAAACCTCTCCTGTGAAGAAAAATATTTTTTCAAAACCGCTTTCAGGTATTGCGTTGTTAATTAAAATAGAACTATGTTAAGAATCAAATTAATATTACAGTTAGAAAAGAAGTAAACGTGAAATTTTTTTCTACATATGATTGTAAGAAGACACACGTAGTTCTGGAGAAATTTGATTTAAAAATTTAGAGAACATTTAAATATAAATTTTATAATGCACTTGTAATGTATGGAAAAAATTATCAACGTTTGAAATTAATTTACGTAACAATATTTTGCAGGTAAATCTCACTTCGAGGAACTGGGCTATTTATTTTATCCTATATAGGAAAAAACATTCGGTTGTGTTACCATTTGCACGTGGTCCGGATTATAAAATTATGGAATACTTAACGCAGATGTGGACAAATTTTGCTAAAACGGGGTACCGTAGACTTGACATTTCTTATACGAATATTTATTGTGACATCGTACAATCACGTATAATAATCAATTACACCATTTATTGCAGAAATCCAACACCTTCTTCAGCTAATTTACATGGTCTCCAGTGAAAAATGGAACTACGTATGATTATTTAAATATTATTAAAAAACCTCGAATGAAGATTCTTATGAAAGGAAACCAACGATGGGATTGGAGAACAGACTTAAATTATCAAAAGGTTATACCAAATTCGAACAATTTTCTACCACACAGAACCATTCGTTAACTATACGAAACTTTACACAGACCTATAGTATGAGATAAAATAAAAAAAGAAATCTAAAAAAAAAAAAAAACTCTAAAATTATTATTATTGACATTATTACTATAATTAGAAATTAAGCCTTGTGAAATGAAATATTAACAAAACTACATTCTTTTATTATAATAGAATTTTAATTTAGATTTATGTTACTAAATATATGTAGGTACATGGTAAAAATTGGAAACAGAAAAAATTATAACATCCTCTCGACATTTTTGCTGAAGAATATAATTTTTAGATACTCTGTATATATAATTCTATATACCTATATAAAAATCTAACCCTTATAGAAATTTATCACTAGTAACACCAATTTATCTCTTATTTCGAGAGCTTACTCACTTATTTCGAGTACTGAATTACTGTATATCAGTATTTTAAGTACTCGAAATAAGTAATTAATTGGCGTTCACTAATATTAAATTTCTACAAGGGAACTACGTTGTAACTTTTAGTAACACTTAAAATTTTCTTATATTTTTCTTTTTCAAAGGAATGACATTGAAAAGTATCCGTTCGTTGATATTGTTTGTACATACATATATCTGTGTAATAAAATTTATTAGTTGTACAGATAGCAAAATGATTTATAAAGAAAATTTAATTTTGTACATAAGAAGATTCTTTATCTGGCAACTAGACAAATTTGGTTTGAAATATCGAAGAATTTGTAATAGTAGTCTTATTGCTGTTACAATGTTATATTTAATAAGAGCGACGTTTTTTTGTAGCGCACAAAATAATTATTTATTCATAATGTCTCATGTTATCAAGACGAACTCTATTTTGACATCGCGCAGCTATGGATCATGATAAGAAAATGTCTATATATGTTTATATAAAAATACTTATTTTTCGCAATAAATTAGCCTGAGCATAAATTTTTCAGAGTTATCTTTCGCCGCATCGTCGAACAGAGTAAAAGTAAATGTGTTTGGAGGGACATTAGTCGGCATCGTCGAGGAAAGCATCTATGGTTCTTACAATGCTTTCGTGGAATATCATATGCTAAACCTCCAGTGGGTGATCTCAGATTTCAAGTAAGTACAGATAATGATTATAAATATTACTATTTTTGTTAAAAGTTTCACTTTGACAAGTGATACAACTGTTTATTGGATAATTTTATAAAACATAAAAGATACAGTAATTTACAAAAAATTAGAAATATAATCTGTTATACAGAAGAAATGATTTTTACATAATTTTAAGACATAATTGTACATATCATTTTAGGCAAAAAAGTTATTATAAACATAAGTCCTATTTGAACAAAGAGATATTACGTATTCAGTTTTAAGAATGACTACATTCATTAACTTATTACAATCAAATACTATGAAACTTTAAACTTGCAATACATTTGAATAATTAATATTATTAATAAACATTTTTCAATTAATTAATAATAATTGGCATGAATTAATATAAACCATTTTATTACATCAGGAACAAAAATTTAAAAACTAACAAGATTTGCCGAAGGTAAACTAATGTTTACAAAAATGTAATATAATTCTTTCATAGCATTTAATTTTATTAAGTTAACCAATGTTTGCGTTCTTAAACTTGAACATTATATCTTCATAACAGTTCAGAATAGGACACATTTTTACAAAAACTGTTTGCTTAAAATGATGTATACAATCGAGTTCTAGTATGCTGACCTCATATACGACGTTTTATGCATTATCGCGACAGGTAGGAAGACTGGATATATGGTTGTGAAGTTTTTGAGAAAATTTTATGCTACGTTTTATTCGGAACAATGTGTTCCTTTTTATGTTACGATTATGAAATGTATGATTATTTATAAAAATCTCTCCTCAAAGTTAAAAGTCGACCAGACTGGCAATCTTTATTATAAATAATTAGTTGAAATACAACGTTTCGGCTGTCATTGCAGCCCTTTTCAAGTAAATCTATAAAAAGTTACATAAATATAATATAATTTTGATACACTTCATCGCTACAAATGAAGTAAATTGTGAGATGTCATCCCATCGGTTTTCTATTGCTATTTTAATTAGCTCCCACGGGGTGTTGGTGAAAAGTGAAGTTACATCCAAGAAATCATAACATGACTATCATCAATGTTTTTATCTTTGATGATTCCACAAAGGACCAACTATCCTTGATATGAGATCGAGGTTCTTGACTGCATTTTGCAGTATCTCACTCAAAAAGGATGCAATGTTATAACAGGACTTCCTACCGTTGAAATTATGATACAAAGAGGATAACCTACCTTATGGATCTTTGGTAAACCATAGCACGAGGCAAAATTACCATTAGTGTCGTGTATAAAATTGAATGTGCGAATTGTGATTCCACGTATATTGGACAGACAAAGAGACATTTAGAAACGCGCATCAAAGAACATAGAAATAATATCAAAAAAGACACGACATTACATTCAGTCGTTGTTTGCATCGGACTTGCAACGATCATGAGTTCCGTTGGGATTTTCGCTGATCTTGCATCAAGAAAAAACAAACAAGAAAAAGAGAAATTGCAGAAGGTTTTATATAAAAAAACAACGTAAAAAGCATTAATTTACAGAAAGATACGGAGAATTTTAGTGGGATTTATGATGTGTTCTTGGACGCTATTTAACTTATTTTTATTTTTATACTTACCTATTTATTTATTTATTTGACTTTGTTATGACGTTTAAATAGCAAAAGACACATTAGGTTTGTCTCTACTTTCTTAACGCGTAGTGACTAAGATTCTTGCTAACTGTTAACATCTATTTATTTCG